CTTGCCTCGTCTTCGGAGGGAGGCATATAATTATCGTCCTCGACCTCTCGGTCTGCCGCTCTCTCATGAGGGCTGACTTCTCTATCCTCCTGTGTTGAATCTTGCTGGAGGTGGTTGTCTTCGGCACTGTCCAGGGTGTTATTATCCCCCGTGCCGGAATCACCGTTTTTGTTTTGGCGGGATTTAGAGCGGCGCCGCTGACGCCGGCGCTTAGGATGCTTCTTGGAGGGGTCATCCTCCGCTGTTCCATAGCCATTGCCTTCTTTTGGGGTGTCCACCATGTATATATCATACGACGAGGTGGCTTTCCAGTGCCCTATAGGCGCTGGTTCTTGATCGTCTCCTGCATCGGCATCCATACCGTCGATGTCCTCGGAGTCGAAGTCGAGCATGTCGGTTAAATCATCGATAGTGGCTACGAAGTGGGTGGTGGGTGGGCGATGAATTTCTTCATCATCCGCATCCCAACCTTGCCGACCATAGTCCGGCCAGGGCTCTCCTGACAAAGAGAGAGACTTTAGTGAATTCAGAATATCGCCGAAGGGCGAGTGCTGAAAGATGTCCGCGGCGGTGAACTCCATGATCGGCGCCCAATCGGGTTCAATCGGTCGGGGTGCGTAGGGCTCGGAGTCTGGAGAGGAGTCCGGCTCCTTGGAGTCATGGGCTTCGCAGAGAATAGGGCAGGTGTTCAGCTCGATCGCCGTAGAGATTGCAGCCCCCGAGGCGGTGTCTAACCACCCATCCTCCGTTGGTGTGATCGGCTCCGAGCTAGGGGTCGGAGCGGACACAGGTGCGGCCTCCAGGGCACTGTTCGGCGGCAGAGCTAAATCATGCCCATCGTGATAGTGCGGCGTGCTCGGTTGTGGCTCGAATCCGTCGAAGATCAAGTCTCCGCGGATGTCGGCCGTGTAGTTCAAACTTCCAAATCTGACCTGATGGCCAGGGGCGTAGCTTTCGATCTGCTCCAGATGACCAAGCGAATTGGCCCGCAGTGCAAAGCCACCGAATACGAAGATCTGTCCGGGGAGAAAAGTCTCACCCTGGATCGCATCGCTGTTGATGATCGGAGAAGCCATCGGGCCTAAAAGTGACGACACAGAGGAACTCTCAATGAAAGCACCAATGTCGGTGTCAAAACCGGTGGATCTCGGGTAGGGGGTCCCGAACTGTGCGTCTAGGTCGGATGGTAACATGAGGCAGGGGACACGATGTTTTACCCAGGTTCGGGCCCTCTTGATGGAGGTAAAACCCTATGTCCTGCTTGATTAATATTGATGATATCGGTAGTACAAGAGTAGATCTACCATGAGATCAAGGAGGCTAAACCCTAGAAGCTAGCCTATGATATGATTGTTGTTCGTCCTACGGATTAAAACTCTCCGGTTTATATAGACACCGGAGAGGGCTAGGGTTACACAGAGTCGGTTACAATGGTAGGAGATCTACATATCCGTATCGCCAAGCTTGCCTTCCACGCCAAGGAAAGTCCCTTCCGGACACGGGACGCAGTCTTCAATCTTGTATCTTCATAGTCCAGGAGTCCGGCCGAAGGTATAGTCCGGCCATCCGGACACCCCCTAATCCAGGACTCCCTCACTTTTGTTGTAGTTGCGGATGCTTGCAATAGAGGTTAATCATAAGTGGTATGCTTGTCCAAGTAAGGACAGCACCCAAGCACCAGTCCACCCACATACCAAATTATCAAAGTACCGAACGCGAATCATATGAACGTGATGAAAACTAGCTTGACGATAATTCCCATGTGTCCTCGGGAGCGCTTTTCTCTATATAAGAATTTGTCCAGGCTTGTCCTTTGCTACAAAAAGGATTGGGCCACCTTGCTGCACTTTATTTACTTTTGTTACTTGTTGCTCATTACCAATTATCTTATCACAAAACTATCTGTTACCTATAATTTCAGTGCTTGCAGAGAATACCTTGCTGAAAACCGCTTATCATTTCCTTCTGCTCCTCGTTGGGTTCGACACTCTTACTTATCGAAAGGACTACGATAGATCCCCTATACTTGTGGGTCATCAATCATCATCATCACCACGCCGTGATGACGGGACTCATCTACTACCTCGACACCTTGCTGGATCAAGAAGGCGAGGAACATCACCGAGCTGAACATGTGCAGAACTCGGAGGTGCCGTACATTCAGTGCTTGGTCGGTCAGAGCTAGAATAAGTTCGACTACATCAACCGCGTTGTCAAATGCTTCCGCTTTCGGTCTACGAGGGTACGTGGACACACTCTCCCCATCTCATTGATATGCATCTCCTAGATAGATATTGCGTGAGTGTAGGGATTTTTTGAAATTGCATCTTGCATTTACCAACAATGCTACCCTGGCCATTCCTATTTGAGGTGATGAGGAAGAAAGGGTTTGGGCCCAAGTGGATTGGCTCGATCGCAATTCTTCTCTAGACCGCTTCTACCAAGGTACCCCTGGTAAGAGTGTATATCTTGCTTGCGGCTTAAGACAAGGTGATCCGGTTTCCCCCTTGCTGTTTGTTATTGCCATGGACGTCCTCATGCATATCTTCAGCAAGGGTGCCGATATGGGCGTGCTTAATTCATTCAGAGGGATCTCGGCTATGCAGCGGGTCTCTATCTACGTCGATGATGTTGCATTATTTGTGAAGCCTAGCGTTGGAGACCTCACTTTTGTCAGGACTACCTTGGGGGCTTTCGGCCGGGCGTATGATCTTCGTGTTAACTATTGCAAATCTTCGGCGATTATGATCCAAGGCAACGAAGAAGATCAAGGCAGAGTTGAGAGTATGATGCAGTGCAACATTGGAGAATTCCCTTGCAAGTATCTAGGGCTTCAGCTTGCCATCAGGCAGCTTACCCGTGGTGATTGCCAGCCAATTTTGGACAAGGCAAAAAAATGGTCCCTGTGTGGCAAAGGGGACTCATTCACCGACCTGCCAGGCTGATTCTTGTAAAATCTGTCATGACTGTGAGGCCTATCCACGATTTCATGATCATGGATGCTCCAAAGTGGGTTTTTGAGGACCTAGATAAGTGGATGTGTGCGTTCTTTTGGACTGCGGAAGACAAGGTCAAGGGAGGACAATGCTTGATCCCATGGAACACCATTTGCAGGCCCCTCTACTTTGGTGGACTAGGAGTAAAAAATTTAGAGCTGCAAGCGCTTGCGCTGCGAGTCCGATGGGAATGGCTGAGAAGAACAGATTCGGAGAGGCCATGGCAGGATATGCCCTTGGTGGTTGATAGAGAGGCTCGACAAGTTTTTGACAGTTTGGTGCACATCTCTGTTGGTGATGGAGCCAACACCTTATTTTGGCGCGATAGATGGATACATGAATTCGGCATTGCAGACTTTGCCCCTCTGATCATAAACTTGGTGGAAAGAAGGACGCAAAATAGACATATGATTCAGCAAGCACTCGAGAACAATCAATGGGTCAGTGACATCAACGGCGATCTGAATTTCATGGCGCACTTGCAGTTGATCATCTTGGGGCAAGCCATTGCCTCGGTTCCTCGCGATGACAGCTGCCCTGATGCTTTCTCCTGGCCTGCTGACATCTCTGGAAAGTACACCGCCGGCTCAGTTTATGATAGGCTGTGTCAGGGCTTGGAAAGGGTGCCTTTTGCCTCTTGCATTTGGAAGAGTTGGGCTCCTTTGAAGTGCAAGTTACACATGTGGCTGACGGTGCAACATAGGGTTTGGACATCTGATCGTCGCGCTAGGTATGGTTTACAGGATCACCCTTCGGCTTGCTTCACGTGCTTACAAGAGGAGGATAACGTGGATCACATCCATGTCCAATGCGTCTATGCATGGAAGGTCTAGCACAAATGCATCCAAAGCCTCGACTTGAGTGTAGCCATACCACGGGTGCATGATGGCATGTTAGACTGGTGGCTTCGAGCTAGGAGACCTCTTGTTAGGAGGATCAAGAGAGGTTTTGACAGCTTCGTCATTGCGGTTGCCTGGTCTCTATGGAAGCAAAGGAATGCCCGTGTGTTTAACCAGAGGGAACAGGAAAAGAACGTTGATGAGTTGCATTTGCACATCCTCAACGAGCTCAAGGAGTGGAAGGATGCAGGCCTAGGTGTTGGTAGCTTACATCATTTTATGAGAGAGGAGCTTTAGGCATAGGTGTTGGTGTTGAGTTGTACTCCCTCCGTTCCGAATTACTTGTCGCGGGTATGAATGTATCTAGATGTATTTTTGTTCTAGATACATCCATTTCTACGATGAGTACTTTGAAACGGAGGGAGTACTTCCTTGTGCGGATGTTCGCGTCGCACGCAAGCTCTTGTAAATAACCTTCTGTCTTTCATAAAAATATGGTACGTCATTGGGGTACTCTCGAAGAAAAAAAGAGTACAATGAGTCCTGTTTGGAACAGACCTGGCGGCACGGCACGGCCCGGCCTGTGCTAATCGTGCCTGGCCCGGCACGACCCGCCATGGCACGTTTAATAGCCGGGCCGTGGCGTGCCGGCCCACTGGCGCTGCTCTTTGGCCCAGGCACGACTTGATTAGTAAATGGGCCGGCCTGATGGCCCGTTTAGCACGCTGGGCTGCACATTTTCAACCTGTTGAGCTGGTTTTTTGGCCTATTGGGCTATATTTTAGGTATACATAAGTAAAAAAGATTGAAAATTATATAAAAAATTAAACGGGTCGTACCATGCCAGCCCGCGTACCCAGGCTCCAGGCCCAGGCATGGCCCAAGGCGTGCCGCGTGCCGGGCACGGCTCGTTTAGCCCATGTCGTGCCTGGCCCATGGCGAGCCGTGCCGGCATGCTCGCGGGCTGGCCCATTTGGCCAGCTATAGTTTGGAACGGGAGATTTTCCTCGATTCTTTAATATTTGAACTGCCTGGTGTGAAATTTCTGCGAAATTCGTGTTAAGCTACAAATAGGACTTGGCTTTTCTTGTGAAAACTACTCTTGGATCAATGATGGCAGTCTTTTTTCTTTTCTTACGATGGCTCCATGAAAGGATGAGGTGATATGGGCTCCCTCTTCCTTCCATGGCCGCTGCCTTCCGCCGTTTGTCCTCTCCCGGCCGCTCGTCGCCGACCCCCGGAGCACCACCACGCGCCGCTCGCCGTCCCATCCTCCTCGTCTCATCACGTCCGCCTCCCTCCTCCCCTTTCTTCGCTCAGTGAGCTCCGTCTCACTCAAACTGACCTCGCCCGAGCGCACACGCCAGCGTCGACGCGCATCGTGCCCCGTCCAAGAACTGCCCCACCGGATGCCGACGCCGCGGCGGCCCTCATGGTCGCCCGCGCGGAGGCCGGCGACTTCGTGCGGGCTCAGTCCATCTGGGCGCAGCTCCTGCTCAGCTCCGCCGCGCCGTGCCTGACTGCCGCGGCGCCCCGCCTCCTCCCGGCGTACGCGCGCGTCGGCCGCTACGACGAGGTCCTCCTCGCCGCGAGGGAGCTCGCCGCGCGTGACCCCGCCGCGGCGCGGGACCTCTACCCGCTCGCCGTTTCCTGCCTCGGCGCCGCCGGCGAGCTCGCTCTCATGGAGGACGCCGTGCAGGAGATGGCCCGCGCCGGCCTCGGCGTCGACTCCGCCACCGGCAACGCCTTCGTGCGGCACTACGCAGCCTCCGGCACCGTCTCGGAGATGGAGACGGCGGTCGGCCGGCTCAAGAAGACCGGCCTCCTCATCTCCGTCGACGCCATCCGCGCCGTCGCTTCGGCGTACATCGCCCACCGGAAGTACTACAAGCTCGGCGAGTTCGTCAGGGGCGTCGGCCTCGGCCGCCGGGACGCCGGCAACCTGCTCTGGAACCTCTACCTTCTCTCCTTCGCGGCCAACTTCAAGATGAAGTCGCTGCAGCGCGCCTTCCTGGAGATGACCGCCGCCGGGTGCCGGCCGGACCTCACCACCTTCAACATCCGCGCCGCCGCCTTCTCCAAGATGTGCATGTTCTGGGACCTCCACCTCACCGCCGAGCACATGCGCCGCGACGGCGTCGCGCCGGACCTCGTCACGCACGGCTGCTTCGTGGACGCCTACATGGAGCGCCGGCTCGCGCGCAACATCTCCTTCGCGTTCCGCCGGCTGGACGGCGGCGCCGAGCCTGTCGTGGCCACGGACGGCGTCGTGTTCGAGGCGTTCGGCAAGGGGGGCTTCCACGCCACCTCCGAGGTACTGCTAGAGGCGGCCGGCGGGAAGCGGCGGTGGACGTACTACGACTTGCTCGGCGTCTACCTGAGGAAGCAGCACAGGAGAAACCAAATCTTTTGGAACTACTGATCTTCATCAGTGCAGCACTGTTACACTAGTGCAACAAGGTAGGAGTACCAGATGCTACGATGTACAGGGATGATTGTTATGCTAATAGAAACAAAATCATAGATGTAATGGAACTATGGAAGAGTCTTTGTAAGATGACTGCCAAATTTGATTTATAATCTCCCTAAAAAAATTACAGTACTAGCATCAATTTCTCACTGATTCTGAAATGCCAGCTGCTACAAATCGACAACCTGACAATCCCAAAGAAAACCTAAATAACAATATTATATGTAACTCCCTAATTCTGAATTTCAGAATATGCCACTCCATGTGTCACTGAAATGTGGGCATGGGCCCTGCACGTCAGTGATCTTAAAGGGGTCACATCATGAAATGCAACTTAAGAGGAGTCACATTAAAAATCATTCAAACAAAGATAAACTATTACACCAGGTAGGAAGACATTATATTCCAGCTAATTTTCATGTGCGCGGGCAACGGTGCGATGAACCTTAGGAGATTCGGCTTCTCCTTGGACCATGGGGTGCCATTATCATGCCACTCTCCGGTGTTACTCAGGAACTTTGCGATGTTCGGGACCACCATCTCCCGGCAATGGAGGTGCAGCAAAGGGACTTTAGAGAGAACACTGCCCTTCTGAACCTCCAAGCCTTCAGGCCGCCTCAGCTTGTATGGTTCCCCGGTGAACGGCTCAAAGTCCGGTTGGGGATTCTGCTTCCACCTTTGGTGCACGAACCACCCATATTTGTAATCTCCAACAATGGGAGTGCCCAAGGCTTCCGCACAGTGCACTCGGAGCTGCAGCAGGGTCAGCATAGTTTAGATTGGTGATTTCAGTTAAAAAAAATCAATTATAAATGTAAGGATATGTGAATATATTCACCGTGTTACAAAACAAACTCGGGTGTTGAAGGGGAAATCGAAAGATGATGCAACAGGATGTACGGCGTATCCATAATACAAGTATGTTAACATCTTCATATATTTTACAGAAATGTGTTTCACCAGTAAGAGTTAATTAGGTGCCGTGAGACTACCTGATGCTTCCGGCCTGTCAATGGGCGCAACTCAATCCAGGAACAGCCATTGATGGTGGGTCCCATCACTCGATACTCAGTAACAGCCTCTTGTGCACCATCTATGCCAGAGGGATGCGCCAGAATGACCCTCTCAGCTTTTCCATCATCAAGAAGTACCTAGTTCAGTGAGAAAGAAACCAGGACATGTGACAAATCTTGCCATTAAAAAAATGGATCGTTACTACATATGAGTATGACCTTATCTATGAATCATCTTGGTTCAATCCGTGGAAAGGAGCCAGGGATGCACCAACTGTGATGGTTGATGAGAGTGCTAAGAGCATCTCCAATAGGTGCCCTATTTTAAGGCACCAAAGTGTGCTTGGAGTAAAATTTACAACATCAAAAGGTGGATTATAGCCGAAAAATGTTCATCTCAAACAATTGCCCTAAAATTGGTTCCCTAAAATACATCACGGTTGCCTTCTTGCCGGTGCCCTATTTTAGGGCACCTGTTGGAACAACGAAGTGAGCTGTTTTCTTGTGGTCTTGCGTGGTCCCTGCTGCCCTAAAAAAATTGCAACAGCAGCTGAAGTGTTGCAATGCAACACTTGGTGCTGTATTTTGCAGCTGCCCAATCCTTGGGAGTATTTTTTTTTGCATATAAGGCACCTGTTGGAGCAGCGTTTTTGCCCTTCGTGCGCTAAAAAGCGGTTATGCCCTATTTTAGGGCACCTATTGGAGATGCAAAGATGACTACATCTTCTAAATGATGCAATGATTTAAGTAACATAAAACATTAAAGGATTCTTCATTTCTTAATAACCAAATACTTTTCTTAGTAAGATACATGATATAATACCTTTGTGAGAGGAGCAGATATAACTCCTTCACTCTCTGTAGGGGTCCCAATGACCAACGCCCAGTACCTCTGCACGTATGATTCACAGGCAGTATTCCATATCTACAAGATGCATCAATAATACAAGACATCAGTGGGCTATTACTGCAAAAGGGCATGTCAATCAAAATCATTTAGATATAAGCCCACTTGCCAAGTCGCCAAAATCACGAATTTATGTTAACCTGCGAAGCTGTTCTTGCCAATTTGATGCTAGTGAAGAGCCAGTGCAGCCGGGTAAAGCTTTCTCTTGTTCTTCCCATCAACAGCAAACCACTAGTATCTCTGTCCAGTCGATGGACCTGCACTCACAAACCGCAGGAAGAAAATCATCAGAGAGAGCTTAAGACAACACATAGCATCCCAAAATAAAGAGAAACAATCTAACCAATTTTGGACCCTCTTCATTCCCATATGACAGTGCTGCTGCTGCAAGCACATCCATACTGTTATGTACTGGTAAATTCCCCTTCATGGGCACTTTTGGAGGCTTGTTAAGCACAAGTATGGCTGAGTCCTATAATTTAGAAAGTTCAGCATACTATGATGGATCTGAATAAGGAAAATCAAATAACCAAACCCTAGGTGACACCTTTGAAATATCAATAAGTAACTTGTGAATGGCATTTTTACGGCATTGTGGAAGTAATATAATATGTAGATAGACACTTGATTTACACATATCATAATCTTGTATGCGCAAGTTAATTTACTGTACAGAGGTCAGGGGCTTACACAACTGCCCACAAAAAAAACATTTGTTACGGCAGCAATCATGCAAGAAACTAATCAGAGTACAACATAGAATGATAGATTACCTTGTAGATGACAAGCCTTTTCAGGTACTCAATCTCATCCCTATTGGGATGCAGTGTGGCAGTTGGAATGGTCTCATACCGCTTCTTTATCTCGGCCTCAGCCACAGACACAGGAAGATGAATTCTCATGCCAGGCTCCATCACTTCAGAATGCTTGATCTGCAACGAACTGCTGAGCATATTTACTTCACTCACGTAGTAAATAACATTTCACTAAAAGAACCCCAGAAAATACAGCATGAATTCTTCATTACATACCTTCTTCAAATGATGCTTCCGGCACCAAATGCTCTCTGCTGAAACCTCCTGATCTGAGCACTCAGTGTAAACCTGATAACAGATAGCAGAGTATTTAACCAAAAACTACCACAATTCGCGGAAACGTGACAGAAAACTACCACTTTACGATTTTGTCCCGAAAACTACCATTTTTTTATTAATCCGTGACAAAAAACTACCAAGTGTGAAAACTGCTCGCTTTGCCTGGGTTAAACGCGAATCTGACTGCCCGACCCCACACATAAACGGGCTAAAAATGCAATCGGGTCCCTAGTTTTTCTTCAAAAAAGCAATCGGGTCCTCCGCCTCCTTCTCCTCCTCGTCGCCGGCCTCCTCCTTCCCCAGCCGCTTGCCGCCGGCGGACGGGAACGGCTACTGCTGCGGCGAGTCCACGTCGTGGACGGCGGGGCCGGGGTCGTCGGCGCTGGAGACGGTGGAGACCGAGATCAGCCCGAGCATCCTCTTCATCATGGCGGTGCTGGCGATCGTCTTCTTCGTCTGCGGCCTGCTGCACCTGCTGGCGCGCCACCTGCTGCGGCTACGGCGCCGGCGGAGGGAAGGACCGCGATGACGCCGCCGAGAGCGTCACGGCGTTCCAGGGCCAGCTGCAGCAGCTCTTCCACCTCCACGACGCCGGCGTCGACCAGGCCTTCATCGACGCGCTCCCCGTCTTCCTCTACCGCAACGTCGTTGTGGGTGGGGACGACGGCGGGGGGAAGGACCCGTTCGATGGCGAGCGATGGCGAGCAAGCTGCGGACGGCTGGGGAAGGAGGAGGCCGGGGACGAGGAGGAGAAGGAGGCGGAGGACCCGATTGCTTTTTTGAAGAAAAACTAGGGACCCGATTGCATTTTTAGCCCGTTTATGTGTGGGGTCGGGCAGTCAGATTCGCGTTTAACCCAGGCAAAGCGAGCAATTTTCACACTTGGTAGTTTTTTGTCACGGATTAATAAAAAAATGGTAGTTTTCGGGACAAAATCGTAAAGTGGTAGTTTTCTGTCACGTTTCCGCGAATTGTGGTAGTTTTTGGTTAAATACTCCAGATAGCAGCACTTTTCATGTCAGATTGAAAACAATGCCTACATGCAGTGTAAACTGGTAGTGAAATGATAGAAACTAAAGCAAAATATACCAAAGCGAATCAATCAATGGCTCATTGGAGAAAAACATTGCGATCATTAACTGAATTCATCACAATTAATCAATGGTACCTAAGCATGAAAGCAGCTAAATCATTTAGCCACTATAATAGCCTACACTTTGAACAAGCAATTCACATCTGAGAACAATGCAATCCCATTCTTATCGCGTGTTAACACTAACTGAAAAAAGTAGTGCAATCTTTTCATTAATAAGACCGCAGATGATAACAACAGGGCCTGTATAGAGTGCGGAGGCGTGGCACCCGCAGTAATACGCACCTGCCTCTTGTTGAAGTGCGCCTGCACGACCTCCTGCGGCACGTCGGCGAAGCAGTGCTTCACCCAGCTGACCGCCGTCACGTGGCGCGGCGCCACCTTCCTCCCGGGGAGCGGGTCGGCGCCGGCAGGGAACGGCGGCAGGGAGAGCAGCTGCCGCGGCCTCGGCCCGGGCTTGGGCGCGCCGAGGCGGGCCACGTTGTTGCTGTCCACGCGCACTACCGGCGCGGGCGCGGGCGGCGCCAGCCGCGACAGCCCCCGCCTTGCCGCCGGCCATGGCCACGTCCCCAGGCGACGCCGCAGCATCCTCCTCCGAGCCGTGCTGTGGTGGTGGGCACTGGCCCGCAGCGGCCAGGTACATTACATAACTGGGCCGTCCTGACCCCGAGACCCGTGAAGGCCCGTAAGCAGAACTCAATCCTGCACGGCCCGGCGCGAGGGCAGGCCCGATACGCTGATATCTCTCGACAGGTAATTGCCTCGGGTTGTCTCAAAAAAAAAAGGTAATCGCCTCGGGAAACGTACAATGATGGTCCTCCGCTTGTTCAATTTGTAGTTCTCCCGCTCTCGAAAAATAAGGGGGAAACTTAAATATCTCTATGGTTTGCATGCAGGATACGAACCCAGTCTCTGTCTTCGAAAATGCCACTGTCCCGAAAATCCCAGGAAGAAACCCCTGACGCAAATGTACAAAAAACTCGCACACGAACGTGTAAAACATACGGAGAAACTCCAAAAAATATACGAAACGTAGCACCGAAAATGTTCACATCACGCTTTTCTCTTCTATTTCTGAGGAAAAAAACGTTCACATCACGCGAGACCACAACAATGCACGTCGAAAACGTGCAGCAAGTTAGCCGAGCGTCGCACAACATGTAGAAATGTGTCAAAAAAAGTGGACACTGCAGAATAAATACACCTCCTCCTTTCCGCCGTGGAACCGTAGACGACGGCCGATTCTTTCCGACGCCACGTCGTGAATCGCCGTTCTTCCTTCCCCATTCCGCGCCTCTGTTTGCCGTTGTCCGGGGTTCCAGCCATGGGCGTGGAGGAGGGCTTTCGCGGCAACAAGCTCACGCTCGCCAGCATCGGCTTCGCCGAAGCCCGCGGCGCCGGCGCGTTCAAGGACGACGGTCTGCTTGGAGTGGGGCTCCCCAAGCCCAAGGACGGCTACCTCGACTGGGACGTAGCAGTCAGGCTCAGCCTGCCGGACGTCGGCGCCGCCGTCAGGGTAAGGAACCGCAGATCCCAGCGCCTCGGGTAGCCGTGTGTGCGGTTCATGCAAATTGGGACGGTTTACGACTTCGTTTGGAGGCATTGTTGCGCTTTTTTTCTAATTTTTTTTTGGAAATTGCTGTGCTTGCTTGTTGGTTCTGATGCATTTCGCACTTGGCGATCTTTCGTCAGTAACTGTTCACAGTGTTTCTGCTGAAGCTTCTCTCTGTCAGGGTTTCAGAACGTCCACTTGCTTCAAATTTGAACTCCCTTGATCTGTTTCGCTCTCTTTCAATTGTATGGTATGATAGTACAACAGTCACTGCAATTGTTTTTACTAGTATGACTATGGCTGATGTATATCTTATGATTTAGGATTAGCTTTGTAGTTTGATGTGTGCATCTTTCTATTTCCCATCGACATGTGTTGTGAGTTGTTACATCAGAACCTAAGAACCTTAATTTCTAGCGCAGACTTTGCTGAGGCGTCGAGAAATTGCAGAATTCGTCAGCGGGGCAATGGCTGGTACCATGACTAAAGCTGTTCTTGCTCCTCTAGAAACTATCAGGTATTCATTTTACTTTCATCTAAACTTTCAATTTTTTCTGATGATAGCAAGATTCGATTGGTCGGGTAAGTTAATCAGGCTCATTTGATATTAATAAAAAATAGTGATGCCATGGTTTCTGATTGATTTCAGGACAAGAATGGTTGTCGGTGTAGGGTCAAAACAGATTTTCGGTACTTTCATGGAGATCATGGAACACAATGGCTGGCAAGGGCTCTGGGCAGGCAACACGATTAACATGATCCGCATCATTCCTACTCAAGCAATTGAGCTCGGCACATTCGAGTGCGTCAAACGGAGCATGACTTCAGCACAATTGCGATGGAAAGAGGATGGATGCCCAAAGATACAGCTCGGTGGTTTGACGATCGAGCTGCCTCTTCACCGCTATCTCCAATCGCCGTTGGAGGCGCGGCAGCTGGGATAGTCAGCACTTTAGTGTGCCACCCCCTTGAGGTCCTCAAGGTACATCAGACCTGACTCTGTATTAACTGACTACAATGATACTGACAAATTTGATGGTTACTATCGATGATAAACTACCTGTGGCTTAAATAAATTGTGTAATGTGCTGTCTGTTTCCAAATCAGCAGGGCATACTGACAAATATCTTTGCATTTGATGTGAATGTGATGGTATTTTATATACTTGTGCTGGCAAACCACTTGCCGATTCGTTGATGTTCTATGCTCTGTCTCAGGATCGTCTGACTGTTAACCGCGACGCGTATCCTAGAAATATCGCCCTTGCGTTCAACAAGATCTACCGAACCGAAGGCGTCGGCGGTCTGTACGCCGGCCTGTGCCCGACGCTGGTCGGCATGCTCCCTTACAGCACATGCTACTACTTCATGTATGAGACGATCAAGACCTCCTACTGCCGTGCACATGAGAAGAAGTCGCTGAGCCGTCCCGAGCTGCTGGTCATCGGAGCTCTTTCAGGTGAGAGGATTCAGTGCAGCCCAGAAGGCAGAAAGTTACTACTTGGTTTCATTCTGTTTACCTGTGCTGTGCAACAAAATCCTTGGAGAAACTTAGAAATGGGGTGTGTTCAAGATTCACTTACAGTTTGGCCACTGAATACGCCGTTAAATTTCGAGGTTGCTTTTGTCCAGGTCTGACGGCGAGCATGATCAGCTTCCCTCTGGAAGTGGCGAGGAAGCGGCTGATGGTCGGAGCCCTGCGAGGGAGATGCCCGCCCAACATGGTCGCGGCCTTGGCCGAGGTGGTCAAGGAGGAGGGCTTCAAGGGGCTGTTCCGCGGCTGGGCGGCGAGCTCCCTCAAGGTCATGCCCACGTCCGGCGTCACCTGGATGTTCTACGAGGCATGCAAGGACATCCTTCTGGCTCCACACCTAGCCTAGCCGTTGCCTTGCCTGAGATCATTCAGCAGGGCAGCAGGCACAACTCATTGTGATGTGCTTGTGTGTGGATTGTCATCTTTTTGTCCCATTTGGAAACACGCACTTGCCAGGAGCAATGCTACACCTACGAAGGGAGTTACATAAAAT